AATATGAAATATCTATAAAATATGACACTTTACTAAATAATAGAAAATAGGTCCCTTAAGGAAAAAGGTTCACAGATTATATATTTTTAATTAGACAGAAGGAGAAAATGCCCTTTTAGAAGATTTTAATATGGAAATTATATATTTTTGACACACATTATTGTCCCGAGCTGGTTATTAATATTTAAATATAAGCCTCAGTTAACAATATAAACAAACATGAATGTTAAATGTATAAATATGTGACTGTATATATATGATTAAAACAGTGTAACGTGAGATTTATTTAGCTTTAATCCAACAACGTATGTTCAGTGGAAACAGCCAGTCATTGTGCGGCCCAATCTTTAACACCTCAACAAACTGTGTTTACCCACCTTGCCATTTTTACAAGTCCCGTTAATAAATAAGGTAACTCTTCTCATTCTTTAGGCGCTTTTTGGTTTGAAGTACTTCGTTACAATTAAAACAATAATGAGGTTTTTCTTTCTTCCAGCTAACACTGATTCAGGCTGGTTGCTAGCTAGTTGCTACATCAGACAACAACACGAGACTAATGACGCCTTCACGAGCTTTCGGAGAAACGGGAACTGTGATGCTGTAACTCATTACTAGTGAGTAATATTACAGTAATCACATTACTTTTCACAGTAACTAGTTGTGTAACTTATTACTAATACATTTCAGTAATGTTATAGTAATAATATGACTTTCCCAAGTAACTAGTAGCATAACTAATTACGAATACATTTCAGTAATAATATAACAGTAAGAAAATTACTTTAACCAGTAACTAGTAGTGTAACTGGATTAAAACTAGTAGTGTAACTAGTTACTAATATATTTAAGTATCATTATGCTGCTACAGCAATAAAATGATGTGCTGCCACCAGTTTTTCTGAACAAATCTGGGACAAATCCAACAAATCCGAGGGGACCCTGAAGGGTGCCTCCGGGCCGCAGCTCTGTGATTGGTCGGAGCGTTCATACGTAAGCACGTATGCGTGCGGTGGTCTGCTGCAAAGCTTCCTGAAGCTTTTTGGTTTTCTGCAACAAAAACAACGTTAAAGTATTTTTATTAAGTTACAATTTGTATCTGAGTCATAATACAACATATTATCTATCGCTCGGTTAATAATCTATCCGCTTTTTAACTTCATTCATTATATATTTGCTGTGTTTTGAAGCTGTTGGTGGCGGTAATGTGTCATTAACAGCATAATGTTCATTTATTCCAGAAACTAGTTCAGCTTCAGCTTTAAATGCATTTCTGCGCCAGTTTAACACAAGTTTAACACAATGGCGTCTGATAAACAGCACTGCTCCTGTTGCTCCCATCCTGTCTCCTCTCCCAGTGTTTACCAGACCTTGAATGAAATGGAGTTTGAACGAGGTTTGCACTTTTAAATAATTCATCTAATGGAGTTATAGAACATGCACAATATTAGGTTTCATTCTCCTCTGCAGGGATCTGGTCTGCTGCAATGGACGGGGATCTAGAGAGGGTCAGGTCTTTGGTCCAGAAGGGCACAGACCCCAACCTGAGAGACACAGCTGGATACACAGCTCTGGTGAGTGCAGAGCTTCCTTTTCCCTTTATTATCATTTAATGAACTGACAGCCCCTGTTTAAGTGACATATTTTATGGATATTTAAATATGAACTGCAGGAAATTTGGATGAGTTTTGAGCAGATTATTTCCTGTTTTTGTATATTTTTAAAGTTTTCTAGCACGCTTTAAAATTAAGAAGGCCCCCCCGTTTAGTGCAGGGGTTCCCAAGCATTTTCATGTTGAGGACGCCCCACCCACTTTAGAAGATTTATTTATACAAGACATTTTATCCCCCGAAGACAACCCAAAGTGCTTTACAAAATCCAGACAAAAAGCAGAAACAAACCAAGAAACAAACGTTAAAAACAATAAAACAAACTAACAAACACATTTCATTTAAAAGCAAAGGTAAACAGGGAGTTCTCTAGGTTGGATTTAAGAGCCGTCATTGTTTCAAGTCTCAGTTCTTCTGGCAGTCTGACATCTGAGCAGCACAGAAACTAAAGGAAGCTTCTCCAACCAGACTAAGATTAAGGAATTATAGTTTTCATTTTATTTTTACGTCTCTCTAGTCAGTGAGTCAGTGATCAAACTGGGATCAATCTAAATTACAATCAGTCCAAACAACCGACCCTGTTTCTTCCTTCGTTGTTCCAACTAGAACTTTAATTTTAAGCTACTTTATACTCCAAATAATGGAAATATTGTACGTTTTACTCCACTACCTTTTAACTTTTGGTGCTTTCAGTATATTGTGATGCTAATACTTTATACTAAAGCTTTATAGTGTTCTCATGTTACTAAATTCCTGTGTGTGTGTTGTTTCAGCACTACGCCAGTCGCAGTGGTCATCACGCCGTGTGCAAGTTTCTTCTTGAGAACGGAGCTTGTGCGTCTCCCCAGACACCGGGCGGTGCCACGCCGCTCCATCGATCGGCGTACTGCGGCCATCTGGACGTGGTCGGACTCCTGCTGCGCCACAGAGCAGACCCAGCGCTCTGTGATGACGATGGTGCATCTGCTTTACATAAGGTAAACCACATAATAAAAGCACTGTGGAGAGACAGGCTGATCGTCAGTTAACCACTGGCTGTGTTCTGCTCGAGCAGGCTGCAGAACGGGGTCATCAGGAGGTGTGTCAGCTGCTTCTGGAGCACTGCCCGGCGCTCTGCAGCCAGGTCAACAAGAGGCTCCAGCTACCCTACCAGCTGGCGCCGCAGGAGGATCTGCAGCAGCTCTTAAAGCCACCTCGGTGACGACGGACGACTCTGCAAGCTGAGAGCTGCTGAAATCAGACAAGTGAGCTGAAAACATGCTGGGTGAGGTCTGGATTAGGCTGATCTCGACCTGGACTTTCTCTACTGAACACCAACAAAGAGCCGCTGAATGAAACAGGATGAACGTTACATAAATATGATCCTGATTTTGATTTCTAGTTTACTGCTTGTGTGATAATTACACCTCCTAAAACACATAATAGTCTCTGCTGGTGTTATCATCACCACTCAAACGTTAAAGTGCTACAAGAAAGTGCAATAATCTGAAAATATTTGATCATAATTATACTTGAAAAATATGCTAAATGTAATTTATATACATTTTCTTTATTGTTTGCAGCTAAACAACAAATGCAGGCTCCAAAACTGTTTGACCTTTATTTTATTGTATATTCAGGACTAGTTTAAATATAATAATAATATGAAACTACTAGAAAAAGGCAGTATTATATTATATTTTGGAGGGTTAAGATTAAATGATATCTTATTCTACGTGTAGAAATTCTCTGACTAAAGCCACACATGAACACTAATGCCATCAGAATCATTTGAAACCACATTAAAAAGTACAGAAAGTTTAACATTTTGAGCCAGAAAGCTCTTTTGTAAGCGGCTCAGTGATGATGGGTTGGAGTCACTTAGACACATACTGAATTTATGCAGCACAAAGTCACTGCGGCATTAATGATTGATCCCCTTGAACATGTTCGAAAAAGCAGCTTGTATTAAAACTGGAGGCCAACATCCCACCTGTGTTTGATTCAAACTTTGTCCAAAGTCTAAAATCTTACATTTCAGGCCTTTAAAAATGTCTAAATTCACGTATAAAGTTGCATTTTTATCGCTTTTAGATGTGTTTTCTTGCCCGTGTTTGGTTCAAACTTTATCCACAGGGTGTCCATGGGGTCTTAAAAAGTATAACATCTGTATTTTAGGTCTTAAAGAGGTCGTAAATATTATTTTGACAGGTCTTAAATATTGAAAGGATTCATAAAGTTAAGGTTACTTATATAAAGTCGCCAGAATGGACATAAATAGGTCTTAAATTGCATTCTTGATGGTCTTAAAAGGTCTGAAACCTGCAGAAGCCCTGTGTCCTATCCCTGGTCTGTTTGAATCTTGGGCAGCAGGGGGCGCTGTCAGCTTAAAAGCTGCATGTGTTTTTTTCCAGTACACCATGTGAATTATCTGGCAGCTCACACACAGTGACCTCATTCAATCCTCCCTGCACACTGTAGGGGAAAAGTAAACGGGGTAACTGTTGGAGGGAGAGGACAGCATCAGTGAGGCCGTTACAGCTGATAGGGAGACATCATGGAGGGACACCAGTGTTCTGCTCACACTGGGGAGGGGGGTTCACTGTGTATTAATGAAGGTATCAATCAATCACTGCACACATTTGTATTCCTATACATGTTTTAAATTTGACTTTAGGAACACTTACCTGCATATTTTGCCAGTGACCCGTTGCTACTGTTGCAACATGTCTGCCTCTGCTGTATTCGGTTTATGTCTCTGTGAGTGTTTTAGCAAATATTTGGGACCAACTGCTTCTGATTTGAAGCAGTTTCTACACTGAGAGATTAGTCTTTGTAATTTTGGTGTAATGACCTCAAACCACAAAACTCCAGCTGCTCTCTTTGTGTATCGTTAAGCGAGCAACATTAAATATTAGCTTCACCAGCACATATTGTTTATAGCTCTTTGGTAACACTTTATTTGGATAGTCCACCTAGATGGTTTACAGAGAATTTTTTCAGCATTTGCTCCGTCTGTAGATGTTTAACAGATTATCCTTGTAAGAATTATAACCAACATGTTGTTTGGGCCTAAACCACTGGCGGTATATAATTAGTGGACAGAGCTTCTGGGTCTGTGAAGTGAAGGCAGCGCAGGGGGCAGCTCCACTGGCAGCAATAACAACAGATACCATGCAGTCTTATGGAGAAATGAGCCAACTTGTCTCTTGATTTATGAGCTCAGTAAACAGTTTCCTGATGAGTTTCTGGTCTCAGTCTCTAGTTTCAGTCTTCTTCCAATACAGCATGATGTTCATTTAGTAACTGATGGTCCATTTAGAGTAATAACAGACCATAAAGCAGGGTAAGGCTTTTAAGGGCGGGGCTACCTTGGTGATTGACAAGCTCAATTTCTCAGTGAGTCCGTCCAGCTCAACGCACCAAACTCAGATCCAAACTGTCAAACTAGGCAGTGCTGATCAGATATGGATCCAGATTCTGTTGTTTGAACTATTTCTCTCCTCCTAATCTGTTTCACAAACACATTTTACTGTTTTATCTGGAATACCAGATCCTGTGTGAGCAGGTGAGCCGCCATTGTTTTCTGATACGGACGAGTTAAAACCAATGAGAGCAGCTCAACTCGCAGCACGTCACCTCCGATGGCTCCGACAAACTGTCACGGCGTCGAGCATAACGCCTAACTGGAGGCTTTAAAATGGTTCTCCACAAACTGACGGGTGACGTCACCATAGGTTCAAACTTGGCCTAAACTATGGTTGTGAAAGTTTCACACACACACACAAGAGGACCTACTCCCTCTGTAGATAAAAACAGCCAATTTTAAGGTATTAAAAACACAACAATTCTTATTTTCAGTTGATTAAACACTAATGACTTCACCACTAATTGCTGGTCCACACTGTTCCAATTTAAATGCTGCTACTCTCTGTTGGCAGATTTATCTGAATACAATGACACCAAAAACTGTTGTGTCAGAATATTATTAATAACTTTTTTTTAAGGATTAGCAGTTTTTACCTTTTGTTTTTCTGCTCTCACTGAGATGGCTTGTCTTTTCTGAAGTTATCAAAGGCAGGACGCGTTGCTGAGCACTTTTTGAACCAGTGCTTCTATGCAAAGGGAACAAAGGATGGAAGCCTGGGGGTGAATGAAGGATGTTGATATTTCCATATCTACTGAAACAGATGGAAATACTTTCAACTATTGTCTCATACACTTACTTATTCAAAGCATGTTCAATAAGTAACACATGCATGTACAAGAGGCAGACCCCCTGCTACCCCCTTTTAGCCTTCCACCAAATGTGCACAACAGCACTGCACTTCCTCTGCGCTCCTGCAGGCCGCACGAACCCGTGACAGAAACCCCTCGCTGCAGTCTGAGGAACTTTCATTGGGTCCGCTGGTGGGTGGTGTTTCCAAACTACCTTCAAACCACATCCAGTGCCGTGACTGGAGGGGTGCCAGGCCACATCTGGAGCTCATTGCAGCTGACGCCACACAGCACAAGGAGATGGGGTGTCGGCGGGGGGAGATGGGGTGGGTTGGGGGTATTTTAGCTCGGAGAACTAAGCCAAGAGAGCTGTTTACGCTCAGTGACAAGTTCCTCCTTCCAACACAGCTGAGGAGCTGTAACTAGGATCACCCATTTTGAGCGCCACATGTCAGTAATAGCAGGGGTTTCTGCTTCTTCTCGGAGGTTGGTTGGAAGATATTCCCCGCTTGTTTTCTAAATAAAGCCCGTTTGAATCGGGGCAGGCTATCACACCCACCCACAGCACCTCCTGATTGTTCCCTTGCCAGGCTCTACGTAACATAATCAAAGTTGATGTCTGAAATTTGCTAGCAGTGAGCGAGGTAATGAAAACCCTCTGTGCCACGCGGTAAAACCGGACGAATATTAAAGGGCCTCATTCTTTTTGATAATTTTTCATGAGCTGGTTTGAATTTGAGAGCTGCTTTGCCCCTTTTATGTGGAAACAATCAGGAACTGGTCTGCATTTGGTAAAAATGAGCAGCTTTTTCAGGGGGAAAAAAACACTTTTAAAAAAGTTTCTTTGTGCTACTGAACTCATTTTCACCAGTACAAATGTTACAGTATGTGATATCTAGAAGGACACGGTGTGATTTGTAGCTGGTTTTTCAGAGCTCTCTCTTAATGTGAGGACTTGGGGAGGACTCCACAAGATGAGGAATTTGGATTACAGCTCTGTTTAGTGAGATTTATTTGGAAAGCAATGAAACTTCCTGGCCCTGGAACCCACTTCCACCATAATGAGCCCAAGTTAAACCAGGACTGGATGTTATTTTCCTCAGAAATAGAAGGTGGTCTGTGTGCCATGCCTGCGTGGAGGATTTGAAGTCTGTGCTTGGGACTTTATTTTAAACAGTACTTAGCTGCCTGAGACTGGATGATGAGAACAGCTTGTCCTCTGTGTGTGTTTCTCCATGTTTAAGCTGCTAAATTAGTAGTTTTGTGACTACTTCAACACTAAAAACACAACAACACAATAGCATTCGGCTACCAGACATCCGTTTTCTCCGTTTTGATGATGCTTGTTTTCACAGATAAAAGGGTCATCTGGTCCTTATCTGTCCCTGGGTCCACCTGTACAATATGAATGCATTCTCTGGCCTCCCAGCTGCCCTGGAAGAGCCCGACCTGTCTGAGTTATCCCCAAGTAATCAGGTAAATGGCTGGCAGATGGGCACACGTTAAGAAGTAGAGTGCCAGACTCTGGCAGGGAGGATCCGCCCCACGTTGTCTCATCTGCATGGGGGGGAAGTAGAAGTGCGGTTGTGTCGGGTGAGGGGGCGTGTGTAATCAAATCTACGGGAGCTGCTCCTCAGAGATGCCGCATAATCCAATTTAGGTCCACTCCCACTTCAAAGCAGCATGTTGTCTGCCGGTTGAAGTGATGTTGCAGATCTTACACCGCTGCTTTCCAGGTCAGCGGGTGATGAGAGCCATGAGTCCAGAGGCTGCAGCTCAGCACTGCCACTGTGGGACATGTAAAGGCTTATCAGGGGATCCAGCCACACACAGACAGGACCATGTGAGACAGGTTATTGTAGCTCTAATCAACATGATTGTTAGCTTTATATTTTAATTTTGACATTATAGATCTTCCAGTCATTTAAATTTCATTTTTAAACCAAAGGTTTGATGACATTGAAGTAGTGTGGGATCATGGGAGTTGTTGTCTTCACCACCATTGGCGTCATTGCAGTCAGCTTCTCCCGGTTAGGATTCCTTC